AGGGGTTGGAGCGGCAAGGCCAGGCACACGGGTTGGTCCTAGGGCGGGCCCTCCACCTAGCAAGCGCCACTTAGGGGCCTACGAGGGGGAAGGCGGGACACAGGACCTAGGCGCTTGCCCTAGCTTACAGGAGGCGGTAGTAGGAAGAATCGGCAAAAATGAGCCGGGCCACACGCCTGAGCACCGCTGCCCTCAGCAGCCACAGAAACTCAAGCACTGGTATCAGAACCACCCCTATACCGATCCCCAGAAAGAGAGAAGAGAAGCAAAGGGCGGGACGTTCCGGACAGGGAAGACAGTCGACGAAAGGGGGAGGATCGGAGAGGACACGAGAAATAAGAGCGAGTATACTTCCAGAGCTCCCAGAAGCGACAGCTAAATCCCGCATTCGCTTCGAACCACCAAAAGCTTGAGCCACGTCCACAGAACATGAGGTCGCATGCATGCATGCATGCATGCATGCATGCATGCATGCATGCTTGCTTGCTTCAAAACTGAAACACATGGGGCCAGAGGCACATCCATATATTAATGTAAACCCATATACACAGCTAGTTACCTACGTAGCCAAATAGCAAGTTAGCTAACGGGCTAGTCAGTCGTCAGATCCTTAGTCAATCGGCTGGTTGGTTGGTTGTTTAGTTATGTGGTTATAGCTAGCTAGCTGGTTAGTTAGCTCTTTGGTTAGTCGGCTAGTTGGCCAGCTAGCTGCTCAGTTAGCTGGTTATGTAGTTCCGTAGCAAGCTACTTAGTCAGCTGGTTGTTCGGTTAGCAGCGACAGCATTCCTTAAAGAAAGCACCGAAATGAGAAAGCGACCCAGATTTAACTTAATTAAACACGCATCACTCCGCCTCTTTGTGTTTAAGTAAACTAAATCTGGCCCTTTTGGATTCGCTTACGATCTTCTCACGTTCCTATTTTCTTTGTCCTTTGCTTGTTTAATTTCGCTGGCAAGTGTCGCGTGTAAGCGAGAAAGAATTAAACAAGCAAAAGAGACAAACAGAAAATGGAACGAAATGAGCGTTCACTGTCGTTCACTTAATTATACTACATTACAACTGAACCCTCATTTCACAGTCTTACTTCGCTGCGCTTTTTAATTAGTTTCACGCTTCATTCGCTCTCTTCTTTCTCTCACTGCAGTGAAAAGTTTCTTATCCAGCTCTCGCACTGAAGCAAGTTACCTAGTCGGTTGGTTAGTTAGCGAGGGAGCCGGCTAGCTAGCAGCTAGCTAGGATCAACATAAGAAGATGCGGAGGGCTCGTTTTATGAAGTATGAATTCCCTATGACTTGCGGTAGGGGTTGTAGTGTGGGGTGCGGGGTCGAGGGTCTAAGCCCAAGGCTTGATGGCTTCTGCGACTTTCGGCCGCACTATTTAAGAAATCCTCTAAGAAACATTGATTTCTGGGTGGAGATCTCATGGTATAGTACCGAGATTCGAGCCCTCAATGTAACCTGTGCCCCTTGCTTTGTGTTGGGCTTAAAAATGCTTGAAATGAAGAAGCACGCTTCATTCTTCTTCTTTCATTTCAACTCAGCCACGCAGGGACAGAAATCTGCGATTTCGGACTTGTTCTAGTAGAGATCTCTTGTGCTCTGTTGAGGGTAGGGCCGCCTTTCGTGGGCTGACAATGGAAGGAATGGAGGTGATCGGTTATATAACATTATAATATACTATACTATATTATATTATACTATATTATATCATATCATATCATATTATATTTTATATTATGGCATTGCCCTAACAAGAACAAGAAATTGCTCAGGGCTCGTTTTGATTTTGATAGGACACAGGTGGGCAAGTAGATAGATCGATCGACAGACAGACGGACGGGCAGACAGACAGGCAGGCATACGGAGAGTTAGGATGTACACTTGCCGTACATGTATACGGGTATACATAAAACAACACTCCAAGCTTTTAAGCTTTTTCCTGCTTCCATTTGACTCAGCTGGCCTCAGGGAGAAGCTCACATTTCCCAGATCTTGGACCACTCGGGCCATGACCACCTCTTTCGTCTGGATCACGTCGGAAACCTTCTCCACGAGACGGTCCTTGAGGGGCCGGAACGCCAGCATTCCGGCCCCTGAGCTCACATACAGACAAGGTGCAGAGACTTCAGAGATTGGCACCCAACCAAGTACGGCCTGCACGCAGTTCGAAGACATCAAAAGCGACAGGGGATCTCACCTTGCGAGCCGCCGATAACCAAAGCCTGGCGAAAGTTAAAGCCTCATGAGACTCGTCAGGCTTCTGTTGCGGAACACGGAAACCCAAGCAGATTAACTGAGCTTAGAGCCCAACCCTGCCATCACTTTGCGTCGTAAGACACCGGACAGCTCATCCTCGCCTCCCCGGTCTCAGGGTGTCTGACCTCGAGCTTGGCACCGAAGGGCCGCACCTCCTGCAGAAGGCGCAGCACTCAGGGAGACCTGAGCTCACCTGAGCCCTGCCTGAACAACGGCAGAGTACCATTCCTCGCGTGCCAAGGCCGCGAGGCTTGTCTTGTTAGGCGAAGGCACAGGTTTCGCCTTCTCGGTCCTGGATGCTCGGAGCCATATGGTACTCAAATGATCTCAAAGGCTTGAAGCCAAGCGGCTCACAGGGCGGCTCGATGAGATCGTGGGTGGGACCCACGCCCTTCACGGAGACTGCGCGCAGCAGCAGCAGGAGGCATGGAAAAGAAGCTCTAGCAAAGCACCTCGGCCTCAGCCTCGGGCTTCTCGGGCTTCTCGGGCTTCGCCTCGAGCATCCTCTCAGCTGGGAGCAGAAAAGTCCCGGCGGAGTCTCGCCCTCCCCTCCTGGCCTCATCGTCAGCTCTGTCTTTCCATCTTCACGAACGGCCTTCACTCTCACGTCGACCTCCTGCCCCACTTGGAGGAAGGCCGAGACATCCTCCTCGGTGAGCTTCATACTTAGATCAAGGAGCACGACTTGTGCTTGCAGCCAGGTCGCAACGAACTCGTCCTCGGTCAATGCTGTGCAGAAGAACGGCAAGCATTTTTTTTCAGGGCCCAAAGTAGGTCCCGTCTGCTCCGACCGTTCAGGAACGCTGCGGGGGTTTACGGCTTGGTTTATTTACAACCGGAACCCAAGATGCTCTGTATCTGGCAACAACAGATACCTGGCGGTAAAGAGGAGTGTTGTCCATCCATACCATGGA